GTGGGGGAGGTCTAGGTTGGATATTAGGAAACACTATTTCACTAGGAGGGTGGTGAAGCACTGGAATGGGCTACCTAGGGAGGTGGTGGAATCTCCATCTTTAGAGGTTTTTAAGGCCCAGCTTGACAAAGGCCTGGCTGGGAATTGGTCCTGCTTTGTGCAGGGGGTTGGACTAGATGACCTCCTGAGGTCCCTTCCAACTCTGATATTCTAAGATTCTATGATTCTATGATCCTGACAGTTAGTTAATTGAAGGGTTCATTCACACCCATCTCAAAGGGGTTTAACTCAATCCATAACAAGTTTTCACCCAGCCCATAACAGACACTCTGATACACACAAACACACACTGGTACACAAACACATGCACACACACACTCGGATTCACACACAAACTGCAAAACACTGATACGTGCATAAACACATACTTACATATGTGCAGACATACACACGTTACATGTACACACACATGCGCGCACATACACACACCCCTTACACTCACACATGTTAAATGCTTCCACATAGACCAGGGGTGGGGCAAACTACAGCCCGCGGGCTAAGTCCGGCCGATCAGACCTTTTAATCCAGCCCCCGAGCTCCAGCCAGGGAGTGGGGTCGGGGGCTTGCCCCACTCCATGTGTGCTGTGGCTCCACATGGCTCCTGGAAGCAGCAGCATGCCCCCCTCCAGCTCCTACTCGTAGGGGCAGCCAGGGGGCTTTGCACGCTGCCCCGTCCCAAGCGCCGGTTCTGCAGCTCCCATTGGCCAGAGTACTCACCCCCTAGCACCCCAACCCCCTACCCCAGCCTAGAGCTCCTTCCCACACTCCCCAACCCCCTGCCCCAACCCAGAGCTCCGTCCCACACCCTGAACCCCTTGTTTCTGGCCCCACTGTGGAACCCACAACCCCAGCCCAGAACCTGTACCCCCTCCCACACCCCAACCCTGCCCAGAGCCCCCTCCCATACTCTGAACCCCTCTGTTCCACTCCCAGCCCTCAGCCCCCTTGTGCATCCCAAAGCCCTCATCCCTGGCCCAACCCCAGAGCCTGCACCTCCAGCCAGAATCCTCATCCCCTCCCGCATCCCAACCCCCTGCCACAGATCGGAGCCCCCTCCCACACACTGAACTCCTCATTTCTGGCCCCATCCCAGAGCCCGCACCCCTAGCCGGAGCCCTCACTTCCTCCCCCACCCCAACCCCCAATTTCCATATGATGTGGCCCTCAGACCCAAAAGTTTGCCTACTCCTGACATAGACCCACCCCTCTAACAGCCCCACGTGACGGAGGGGACAGCTGGCACTCCCCGTGAGTCTTGCAGCCTGCACTCAGGGTAGCAGGGCGCTTTCTGCCCGACCTCCTGCCCAGCATGGATTACCTCTGAGGGACTGGTCTGGCCTCTCCTGCTGCACGTGCCGCATGGGGACCCGCTGCATGGTCAGCACTGTCACAAGCCTGGAGTCTGCTCCAGCCTGCTGCTGACTCTGCTCCCTGCAGCAGCCTCCAAAATCTCTGGGCATGCTGGAGCCAGCTGGGCTCTGGGCAGGGGCGGGCAGGGGAGCCAGGAGACCCAGGCACCCTGAGAGGGCAGGGGAGCCATAGGCCTGGAGCAGGAAGTTCCTCCCTAGATATTCAGCCCAACACCTGCATCCTGCCCCCCAATCTGGGACTGAAGGGGAGAGAGAACATGGGAGGGGGAGCCTCTGGGGTCCCCCATTCCCTTCCCTTCGCTTTGGGCTGACATGCCCTTCCCCACCCCACAGAAGGCGCCATCCACCCTGATGCTCCAGGGTATCCAGAAACTTCCCCAGGACTCAGCCTCCCCAACCCCCATAAGCCAGCCCTCCCCCACTCTGTGAGGCCCCCCTCCCCCACTTCCGCCATGCCATGCCCACCTCTTGAGTTGATTATTATTTATCATTATTCTCTTCATTGCATCCATCTGTCCCTCTTGGAGTGGGGGACAAGTCCTGCTGGTCCAGCCTCTGCCCGATGGGCGGGGGATTCGCACTGCACCAGGCTGTTCCTGATGGGCAGGGGATTTGCGCTGCGCCAGGCTGTTCCGATGGGCGAGGTATTCGCACTGCATCAGGCTGTCCCTGGTGGGCTCGTGGGTTACAGTCCCAACTGCCCTTGGCGGTTCTGACATACATAGTGGGTGCAGGGGATTCAGGCGCAGATTCTGGTCAGGATGCATCATAGGCAGAAGGCCACACCAGTCCCTATGGAAAGAGCAGTGCCAGGTGCTGCCTGGAATCAGGATCTGCTCCATGTGGGTGATGCCAGTGAGCCCAGGGTGAATGACCGGCCTAGTGCTGACTCTGCACCCAGCCCACGTGGCCAGTGTGTTGTCCTGCTGTGGGCATGGGCCCTTGCAGAGACCCAGCAGCTGCTATCTAGGGGTGTGGTGGGGAGGGGTGAGTTGGGCACAACAGGAGAAAGGCCTCTTTGTACAGCCAGTGGGAGTGGAGCCGCCTACAGCCAGTGCTGTGTGCTGGGGCTACTGGCCAGGGCCTTTTGACTCCGGCCAGGCAAAGGAGCAGAGGCGGGATGAGAACTCGGGGCCATGACCCCAGGGAGTGGGGTGGCTGGAATGTGCCTCCCAAAGCCCAGGCACAGACATGCAGCAAGGTCAGCCAACGGCAGGGGTCATGCTTCCATCTGGCCAAAGACGGTCTTTCACCTTCATCCCAACGCACACAGGGCAGGAGCCCGGGCTGCTGGGAGAGGGATGGTGCCCTGGAGCAGGGGGCTCAGCCCAAGCTGACATCTCCCCGTTTGCCCACAGAGAGCCAGCCCACAACATCCGATGAGACGGTGGTGGCAGGTGGCACCGTGGTGCTGAAGTGCAAGGTGGAGGATCCCGACGACTCCTCACTGCAGTGGTCCAACCCGGCCCAGCAGACGCTGTACTTTGGGGAGAAACGAGGTACTGTCGGCAGCCCCAGCTGGGCCTGGAAAGGCCCCGCTCACCGCTCCCTGGGCCTCGGGCTAGACTGGCTGTGAGGGGAACAGGCTGCAGAGAGCATTCCTCAGCCTTTGCCCCTAAGTGAGGGGTGGGGTGAGAGGGGTGCCCCAAGGCGGGGGGGCAGCAGAAAGGGGAAGCAGTACTTCAGGGAAGGAAAGGGGGCGGAGGGGAAGTAGTGACCTGTGGAGGGGGGCATGGATGAGGTGCAGTAGTACCCTGCGAGGATGAGGGGAAGCAGTGCCCCATGGGGATGGGACAAAGGGAAGCAGTGCCCCATGTCGGGCGTGGAAACATTCCCCCGTGGGGATGGGGGGAGGGGAAGCAGTGCTCCATGGGGACGGGACGAATGGAAGCAGTGCCCCATGGGGGGAGGGGAAGCAGTGCCCTTCAGGCAGGAGGATGTGCTGCTGGGTTGAAGTGTGACCTGGCGGCTCCTGCTGGCTCTCGGCCCCGGCTGTCGTACCCGCCCCTGCTGGTCAGCTGGCCGGCCAGCATTGCTAACCCCTCTCACTCTGGCCCCAGCGCTCCGGGATAACAGGATCCAGCTGGTGAAGTCCACACCCAACGAGCTGGCCATCAGCATCAGCAACGTGGTGCTGGCAGATGAGGGCGAGTATACCTGCTCCATCTTCACCATGCCTGTGCGGACGGCCAAGGCCCTCGTCACCGTGCTGGGTGAGGGCTTCTGACTCCCTTCCCCTGGGGAACCCGCTCAGTGCCCTGGGTGACAGAGCCTGCTTGTGCACGGGGCCCAGTGAGTGTAATCCTGGCCTGGCAGCAGCCCGCACGATCCCCTCCCCCACCCTGCCAGCTCCTGAGCTGGGCTCCCTGCTGTCGCTGAGGGGTGGGTCCCCGGCCCCCAGATGCCTGGCCACAGCCCTTTGGGATGCTCCTGGGCTCCCCTCCAAGCTACAGGGCCTGGATTCTCCTCCCAGCCCCAATCTGAGCAATCCAGCCACTCCCACTCTGCAGCCAGTGGCAGAGCCCCCAGCCAGGGCTCCGTGTCTGGGCATGTCTGTGTGTTTGCATGTGCATGCGTGTCTGTGTGTGTCCGCATGTGCCCATCCATGTGTCTGAGTGTGTGTCTGCAGATGGGAGAATAACATGAGGGGGAAAGGAGTTCAGGAGAGCTGGCTGTATTTTAAAGAATCCTTATTGAGGTTGCAGGAACAAACCATCCCGATGTGTAGAAAGAATAGTAAATATGGCAGGCAACCAGCTTAGCTTAACAGTGTAATCCTTGCTGATCTTAAACACAAAAAAGAAGCTTATAAGTGGAATATTAGACAAATGACCAGGGAAGAGTATAAAAATATTGCTGAGGCATGCAGGAGTGAAATCAGGAAGGCCAAATCACACTTGGAGTTGCAGCTAGCAAGAGATGTTAAGAGTAACAAGAAGGGTTTCTTCAGGTATGTTAGCAACAAGAAGAAAGTCAAGGAAAGTGAGGGCCCCTTACTGAATGAGGGAGGCAACCTAGTGACAGGATGTGGAAAATAGCTAATGTACTCAATGCTTTTTTTGCCTCTGTCTTCACAAACAAGGTCAGCTCCCAGACTGCTGCACTGGGCAGCACAGTATGGGGAGGAAGTGACCAGCCCTCTTTGGAGAAAGAAGTGGTTTGGAACTATTTAGAAAAACTGGACAAGCACAAGTCCACAGTGCCGGATGCGCTGCATCGGAGGGTGCTAAAGGAGTTGGTGGATGTGATTGTAGAGCCATTGGCCATTATCTGAAAACTCATGGCAATCGGGACAGGTCCCGGCTGACTGGAAAAAGGCTAATGTAGTGCCCATCTTTCAAAAAGGGAAGGAGGAGGATCTGGGGAACTACAGGCCAGTCAGCCTCACCTCAGTCCCTGGAAAAATCATGGAGCCAGGTCCTCAAGGAATCAATTCCGAAGCACTTAGAGGAGAGGAAAGTGATCAGGAACAGTCAGCATGGATTCACTAAGGGCAAGTCATGCCTGACTAACCTAATTGCCTTCTATGAGGAGATCACTGCTTTCCCCTCATCCACAGACGCAGTTGATGTGTTATTCCTTGACTTTAGCAAAGCTTTTGATACGGTCTCCCACAGTATTCTTGCCGGCAAGTTAAAGAAGTATGGGCTGGATGAATGGACTATAAGGTGGATAGAAAGCTGGCTAGATCGTCGGGCTGAACAGGTAGTGATCAATGGCTCCATGTCTAGTTGGCATCCGGTTTCAAGTGGAGTGCCCCAAGGGTCGGTTCTGGGGCGGTTTTGTTCAATATCTTCATTAATGATCTGGAGGATGGCGTGGACTGCACTCTCAGCAAGTTTGCAGATGACACTAAACTGGGAAGAGTGGTAGATACGCTGGAAGGTAGGAATAGGATACAGAGGGACCTAGACAAATTAGAGGATTGGGCCAAAAGAAACCTGATAAGGTTGAGCAAGGACAAGTGGAGAGTCCTGCACTTAGCAATCCCATTGCTGCCAAGTGGCTAGGCAGCAATTCTGCAGAAAAGGACCTAGGGGTTACAGTGGACAAAAAGCTGGATATGAATCAACACTGTGCCCTTGTTGCCAAGAAGGCTAATGGCATTTTGGGCTGTATAAGTAGGGGTATTGCCAGCAGATCGAGGGACGTGATTGTTCCCCTCTATTCGACATTGGTGAGATCATCTGGAGTACTGTGTTCAGTTTTGGGCCCCACACTACAAGGAGGATGTGGAAAAATTGGAGAGAGTCCAGTGGAGGACAACAAAAATGATTAGGGGTCTGGAGCACATGACTTATGAGGAGAGGCTGAGGGAACTGGGATTGTTTAATCTGCAGAAGAGAAAAATGAGGGGGGATTTGATAGCTGCTTTCAACTACCTGAAAGGGGGTTCCAAAGAGGATGGATCTAGACTGTTCTCAGTGGTACTAGATGACAGAACAAGGAGTAATGGTCTCAAGTTGCAATGGGGGAGGTTTAGGTTGGATATTAGGAAAAACTATTTCACTAGGAGGGTGGTGAAGCACTGGAATGGTTACCTAGGGAGGTGGTGGAATCTCCTTCCTTAGGAGTTTTTAAGATCAGGCTTGACAAAGCCCTGGCTGGAATGATTTAGTTGAGAATTGGTCCTGCTTTGAGCAGGGGGTTGGACTAGATACCGCCTGAAGTCCCTTCCAACCCTCATATTCTATGATTCTAGGATATCCATGTGTCTGGGCATGTCTGTGTGTCTGCATGTGTCTGTCCCTGCCCGTTTGTGCACGTGTCTGTATGTGCCCCAGTGTTGTGTATATGTTTGCCTGTGTATCCGTGTGTCTGCGCCTGCCCTTGTCCTGCGTGTGCTTGGGAGCCATCAAGAGGGCAGTTCAGAGGTGCAGAGGGACGAGACGTTCTCCGTTTCTTGCCCCCTCCCCCAGGAATCCCCCAGAACCCTCAAATCTTTGGCTACGAGCTGCCCATCCGAGAGACAGAGACGGCCCAGCTGACGTGTAGATCCTCTGGCAGCAAGCCAGCTGCCCAGCTCCGCTGGAAGAAAGGCAACAAGGAGCTGCAGGGTAGGTGCTGGCTGCAGGGCACCAGGGCATACGGAGAGCCCAGCTCTGGTGAAGCAGGGTAAGGCCTGAACCTTGCAGCTTGTCCCACAACAGAAGGGGAGAAACTGGCCCTGCTCAGTAAAAAGCTGAGGCTGCCCCAGCCCAGAGCCTTAGGCTGGGGCACTGCTGTCCCTGGGGCATAATCGGCCACTCCAGGTGGGTGGCACCTTAGCCAAGATCTTTCCCTGGGGCTGAGCCTGCAGAGAGGGAGCTGCCCCCTAGGGCCTGAGGTGGGCAAAGAGGTAAGCATCACCCGTCTCTGAGTAAAACAAAGTAAAACTCACGGTCCCTTTGCAGCATGGCCATGGGCAGCAGAGGATCCTGCAGCATTGGGGTGCATTGTGAGTCTGCTAAGGGGGAGCAGGGAGGCAGCACAGAGCCTGGTTCGGTAATAATGAGGGCTGGGAAAGAGTGAGGAACCCTAGAGGGACCTGCCCCTGTGGGCCAGCGGGGACTTGGTGCCCAAGGCAACGTGTTGTGCCCTGGGGAGAAGTGACCTGAGCTGGGCCCCAAGTCAGGGGCCAGCACTCAGTACATTGGAGATGTGGAGGCAGCTCTCGGGTGACCTGGCCATTGCTCGGACCCCACATGGGGGAATGTTGGGGCCCACCAGGGAGAGCAGGGCCAGTACAGTGAGGCTGTTTGAATCTGAGGACAAGGGTGGGAGACAACACAACGAGCTGCCCTGAGACACCAGGTCAGGCTCCAGCCGTGCCTCCTCATACCACGACCAAGGGGATGCTCAGTGATACTGCAAAGGAAGACTGGTAACCACTATGCCCAGTACACTGCCTGTGCCATTCTCTGCCCTAAGGGGCCCTGGGGCCAGGATTCAGGACCAGTCAGACAGGCCAGGATAACTGGTGGAAGGGCCGTGCACCCTCCTGCAGGGCACCAGCTAACCACTAGCTGAGGTTCTCCCCTCACTCGCAGCTCCTGTCCCTTGCTCTGAAGCAGCAGGTGAGGTGCAGAGGGGGCCTGTGGGTGAGATGACTCACTCCCATGCCCTGTGCAGGCCCCATGCTGATAACACCTGTTCCTTTGCCCCCCAAAGGTGGGGCCCCTGAGGTGATGGAAGATTCCAATGGGAAAACCTTCACCGTCACCAGCCATGTTGAGTTCACCGTCACCAAAGACGACAACGACGTGGAGGTGACCTGCACAGTGGATCATGAGTCCCTGCAGAACTCAGAGAGATCCACCAGCCAGAAACTGCAGGTCCACTGTACGTACAGGCCAGCCACAGCGAGGGAGGGGGGAGGCATCCAGGGACTGTGCTCCGAGTGTCACAGGAGCATGACGAGGTGCAGACAAGACTGAAGAGAGGCATGAGCCAGTGACCCGCCCTCCACAGACACCCTGTGCCTCACATGAACACCCCACCTATAGCTACGTCACCCATGCCCACTCACAGCCCACCCCAACCCCCCACAGCACACCCCAACCCCTCCCCCCACACACACCAGACACAGCCCACAGCCTACCACACCCCACACAGCCCACTGCCTGACACCCCCCCCCAACCTGCCACACCCCACCACAGCCCTCTGCCTACCACACCCCCATACACAGCCCGCCACTAACCAATGCCACTCCCTCACCACCAAACACCCATGTTAAAAAGTGGGGAGGCCAGGTTTGGCTCTGGTGCCCCCCCCCACCCACACACACACTTGTACAGTGATTCTGGTGCTCTTACCCTATGTGCACACACAACCCACCACTACCAACCCCTACACACACAGCCCACCGCTAACCACCCCCAGCATGTGCACACAGTCCACTGCTAACCATCCCCATGCACAAAGAGCCCACTGCTAATCACTAATATGCACACACACAGCCCACCACTAAACACTCCTTCACATGCATGCATCCCACCGCTCACCACCCCGTCCATACACACAGCCCACCACTAACACCCCCTACGCACACACAGAGCCCACCGCTAGGCATGCCTTACACTCACACAGTCCACAGCTAACCCTCCCATGCAAACACACAGCCCACTGCTACCCCACTATGCACACAGCCCACCGCTAACCACCCTGATGCACACACAGCCCTCTGCTCACCACCCCAACACACACACACCACTGCTAATCATGCCTATGGGCACACATCCCACTGCTACTGTCCGATGCACACACAGCTCACTCCTAACTCCCCTGCCATGCACCACACAGCCCACAGCTAACAAGCCCCCACGTACACAGCCCACCGCTAACCACCCCCTACATACACACAGCCCATGTCTAGCCATCCCCTATGCACACAGACTACCGCTAAGCCCCACTACAGACACACAGGTCACCGCTAACCCCACCCACCCACACACAGCCCACCGCTAACCCCTACTATATAGGCACAGCACACCACTAACCACCCTCCTACACACAGTCCACCACTCACCGTCCCCTATGTGCACACATCCCACCTCTAACCACCCACCCACACACAGCCAATGCTAACCACCCCTGTCCATACACAAGCCCACCGCTAACCAGACCCTGCACTCAGCCTACAGCTAACCCATCCACACACACACAGCTCATCACTAGCCACCCCTATGCACAAACCTTCTACTAACCAACCGCTACATGCACTAACAGCCCACCACAAACCACCCGCGGCATGCACACACAGCCTACTGCTAACCATCCCCACGCACAAAGCACCCACTGCTAACCAATACTACGTTGTGACAAGTCCTCTGCCCGCCCCTCATCTGGGGCCCACTGGCTGCCCCAATAAAGCTCAGAGAGGCTTCTAGTTATGCAGCACCCGTGGCTTTATTTACACAATATTCTCCCACCACCAGTGTTATGCTATATACAGAGCTTGCAGGCCTGATAATCTCCTCTCCTAAACAGAGTCTGCCCTCGGCCGGCCAACAAACAGACCTACCTTCCCCTGGTCATTCCCCCTTCTTCTGGCTGGCTGCCAGCCTTTATAGCCCTTGAATCCTCAGGTCTGCAGGTGCAGCCAATTCTAAAGGCCAGGCACCAGGCTTCTGCCCAGCCCCAATCTATTTCCCCTGATTGGGGCTGGCTGAGCAGGGGCTAATTAGGTGCCTTTGCACCAGCACCCTGCTATATACGTACACACAGCCCACCTCTAATCACTAATATGCACACACATAGCCCACCGCTAACCATCCCACATACACTCAGCCCACCACTAACCGTTCCCTACACACAAACAAGGTCCACCAATAACCCCCCATGCACAAACATCCCACCGCAAACCACCCTCCACATGCACACACAGCCCACCATTAACCACCCTTTAGATGCACACACAGCCCACTGCTAACCAACTTGATGCACAAACAGCCGACCGCCTACCACCGCCTGCATGTGCACACAGTCCACTGCTAACCACCCCCATGCACAAAGAGTCTACCGCTAATCACTAATATGCACACACACAGCCCACCACTAAACACCCCTTCACATGCACGTATCCCACCACTAAGCACCCCTGTCCACACACACAGCCCACCACTAAATACCCCTATGCACACACAAATCCCACCACTAAGCACCCTGACACACACATATCCCATGGCTAGCCACCCCTATGCACAAACATCCCACTGCAAACCACCCTCCACATGCACACATAGCCCACTGCTTACCAACTTGCTGCACAAAGTGCCCACTGCTAATCACCCCTGTGTACACACAGCCCAGCACTAACCCCCCTATGTACACACAGCCCACTGCTAACCACCCCCTATACTCACACACAGCTCGCCGCTAACCCCCTCTGTGCACACAGATAGCCCTCCATTAACCACCAACATTCACACATAGCCCACCCCAACCACCCCTACACACACACAGCTCACCACTAACCACTCCCTATGCACACACAGTCCAGAGCTTAACCCCTCTACATAGACGCAGCCACAGCTTAATCCCTGCCCCACACGCACACAGCCCACAGCTAACCCCTGCCCCATGCACACATAGAGCCCACTGCTAACCACCCCCTATGTACACAGACAGCCCACCACAACCCCCTCACACATACACAGCTAACCACTAACCACTTCCTATGCACACACACACACACAGCTCACCGCTATCCACCCCTACCCACACACACATCCGACTGCTCTCCACCCCTACGCACACACAGCCCACTGTTAATCACTAATCACAATTACAGCCCACCGCTACTCCCCATGCACAAACACACAGCCCACCGTTAACCACCAACATGCACACACATCCCACCACTAACCACTGCTACATGCTCACCACTAACCACTTCCTATGCACACAAAACCAAGAGCTTAACCCCTCTAGATAGATGCAACCCACAGCTTAACCCCCCAACCTAGACACAGCCCATCAATAACATCCCTATGCACACAAAGCCCATGGCTAGCCACCCCTACACACATATAGTCCACCGCCAACTAGCTCCTACGTACACACAGCCCACGGCTAACCACTTCCTATGCTCACCCACACAGCCCACTGTTAAACACCCCCCTCGATGCACACACATTCCACTGCTACCCCCCATGCACACAGCCCGCTGCTAACCACTTCCTATGCACACACACAGCCCACCACTGTCTACCCTTATGCGCACACACAGCCCACCACTGTCTACCCTTATGCGCACACACAGCCCACCACTAACCACTCCTATGCGCACATACAGCCCACCGCTAACCACCCCTATGCACACACACACGTCCCACCGCTATCTAACCCTATGCTCACACACCCACAGCCCACTGTTAAACATCCATGCACACAACCCACCGCTAACCACTCCTATGCACACACACACGTCCCACCGCTATCTACCCCTATGCTCACACACCCACAGCCCACTGTTAAACATCCATGCACACAGCCCACCGCTAACCACCCCTATGCACACACACAGCACACCACTAACCACAACATATGTACACATAGCCCACCGCTAATCATGAATACGCACATACGGAGCCCACCTCTACCCTTCCCATGCACACCCAACCCACCGCTACCTCCCTACACAGACATAGCCCACTGTTAACCCCCCCCCCCCACGCACACCCAGTCCCCAGCTAACCATCCCCCTACACATACATACAACCCACCACTATGTACCCTCCCATGCACACGGGCGGGGGTGGGCAATGCAGCTTTGTGAAGCTGTGGAAAGTACAGTGTTTGTGTTGGGTGAGGGGCAGAGTGCCTGAGGGGGGAGCTGTACACTGTGTGGGTGTCTGAGGTGCATGCTGTGAGCGTGTGTGGGGAGGCAAACACTGGAGGTATTAGGCTGTGGGTGTCTGGGGGAGCGCACGGTTCAGGTGAGTGTCAGAGAAGCAGCACCTCATGGTTGGGTGCAGGGAGGGTGGCACAGTTCTTAGGGAGCACCCCTTCCTGGCCACCCACTGGGGCTGCTGTGTGGGGAACCCAAGCCTCTTCCATTCTGCATTCCCAGGGGTGTTTCAAGCTCCCTGGCACAGCCCCAATCTCAGGATCCCTAGGCGTGCCATCTCTCTGGCACCCCCCTCTGAGTACTGGAACTCACTGTCCAGCTGCCCAGCCCCTTGGGGTGCAGCACTGATCCTTCAAACTCCCCCACATTTAAACCCACCCTCTGCCAGATCTCCACCCCACAAGTGGGAAGCTTCGGGTTGCAGGGCTTGTTTGCACTTGCAGTGCAGCTGCGCTGCTGAGCGTATCCTGTCGGGGTAGGCACTCCACCTCCCTGAGAGGCAGTAGCCGTGTCGCAGGAGAAGCCCTCCCAGCAACATAGTGCTGTCTACAGCAGGGGCTAGGTTGGTATAACTGCGTCGCTCAATCCATACCCCGAGCGACATAGTGATATCAACGTACGTTTGTAGTGTAGACAGGGGTGCAGTTTAACTACCTCAGGGACAGGCAGCCATTGTGAAGCAGTCAGCACCCCCGCAACACACATGCATTTTATTCAGTCTAACAACTTTATGCTCTTTATATTTAATCATGTAAAGCACAGGAGAGCCCCGGTCAACAAAACCCCGTAACCACAATATCCCTTCCCTTGGAGGATCAGCTGGGTTCTGTCTGCCAGGCAGGCAGGAGCCTCCAGTCCACTGCCTAGCCTGCCCCTGCAGCAGCCTCCCTCACCCTAGTCTGGTGCAAGGTGGCTCTCTCCCCAGTTCCCCTTCTCCCCTTGAGTCAATTTAGAGACTCCTGCTGGGGTCACCTTCTTCCTTTGTTCTACCTTTTGGTCAGTTGCCATTACCCCCCTCCCCAACCCCCTGCCACCCTTCACCAGAGGAGGAGCAAACCCATTGTCCCAAGGCATTGAACTTTGACTAAAGGATCTTTGAGCTCAGATCACTCACCGGTGTCTCTGGCCTGGCAGAGGCATGGCACAGCCCGGCTTTCTCATGACACCATCATTCCCTGGTATAGTTTCATAAAATCATCCACCCTTCACAAGTGGTACAGACAAGACTCCCTATTCGCCACATTGCTCCCCCTTTCCAAAAGAACCGAGCCGGAGTAGCCCGCATGTACCCCAGAGGTGTTCTGGCCCCACACTGCTAGACAGAGCATCTGCTGCTGCTTCTGCTTAATCCGAAGTTCATACAGTCAGTAGCACTTCCAATGGTCACACCGAAATGCAATTTTGTGACCACATTATAGGTCCTTCCCATGTTCACACCTCCGTGGGGAGAAGTGAGGTGTGTTTCCTTCCCCCCTTCCCCTGGGGTTTAATTACACCTCAAGTGACAGATTAAGGGGCACCTTCCCGCCTCTGTAACCTCTACACTCCCCCCAGTGGGGGAGTCACACCCCCACTTGGGCTTTACCCACCCTCTGGCGGGCAGCACTCTTTACTACCCTCAGTCTCTCTCATTCCACAGGAGCTCTGTCACATCATCTCCGGGCTGTGCCTCAGTTTCCCTTCCCCTATGCAGTTTTGAATCACAGCACTTTCTAGCTGTGCCACAGTCTTCCTGGCTTCGAGCACAGTTCTGACCCTCAGCACTTTCTAGCTGTGCCAGTGTCTCCCTGCTCCCAGGGTGAGGGCAGACAGCGCGCTCGCCCCCTTGACCACTGAGTTTGGCCCTGGTGGCTTTGTACCTGAGCCCTCTGGACTCAAGCCTGTTACATCAGTACAGAAAATAACACATCAAGAAAAACGACTTCCCACATTCCACAGTCAGAATCCCAGCACCTTCTCTGGCGTCTGTATTGACACCTATTCCCTAATTTGGGTTATATCCCTTTTTTTCTGAATTCCCCCAAACTTTCTCCTATACGCTTCAGGGGGCAATGTCAGTCGTTGGAACAAAGTGTGTTTACGTTGCCTGTAAGCGTTATAATCCTAGTCACAGGCCTGGGCACCGGCCCTGGTATTTCCCCTCAGCGGTCCAGCAAGGGCACCCACTCACAGGCTCCCGGCTTCCCAGCCGTGGTCACATCTCTTGAGCGGAGATCCGCGCCTCTCTCCCTCCTGAACGGGGTTTTTCCAGGCTGCGCAACTTCCCACTTACACAGTGTCATTCCCAGCAAGCCAGATTACCTAAAAGCGTCTGCACTTCACTGTCTCTCCAGAGGCTATAAGCAGCGTAATTGCCCACTGTGATACGTCACAATTATTCTTAAGGTGAAAGCACTACAGAAAAAACATCTTAAAAAAAATCAGAGAAACTACTCACCTGCTAATAAGCTGCAGAGAGGTCACCCCAGCTCCAACAAGGGCTGTGGGAGGAGTCAGTCCTCCAACCCCCACCCAGGGGTTTTCTCTGGTTACGAGCTCATAACAGCCCCAGCTCAGAACAAGCACCCGGCAGAGCAGATCAGCCTCTTTCTTTATGCAGCTTGGGCCTTTGATCTTCAGACCGTCGGTGTCTGGCAGTGGACGATGGCCCCTTCCTCAGGGTGTAGCTTCAAATGGCTGGGATTTTGCATACCTGGTGGAAGGCATTTCCGCTCACCGCCTCCTAGATGTTCCCAGGAATTCCACTTCACATGGATTGTCCCAAAAGACCATTCTTGGCACATTGTTCAGAATAGTCCTCTGATCATCTGGGCCCACAATAATTATGAGGGTTTTGCTGACACAGTTATTCCATCTCAGCCTGATGTTGATCTTTGTCCGTCTCTCTCTCGTTGCACTGACACTGCTGCTCCCAGTCTGCAAGCAGCTGAGCTTCTAGACTCAGTCTGTCCCTCTCGAGTTGCAGCTTCTCAGTCTACCTGTAGATCTGCCCATGATCTCTGCTGAAGTCTGGGTGGAGCACAGTTGTCACTTCTGTCAGCCTCTTCCTTGCTTCCCTCTAGGAAGCTGTCCCTGAGATTTCCCCACCTCTTGGACTCTCTGCCATTGAGCTGGGTGAGCCATCGTGCCCAAGCTCCGGGATGGGTGGGGAAAAGCAGTGCCCGTCTATTGCCAGCTGGTTCACTTGCCTGCTCCGCACAGTGCAGTGCTGGGAAGACCAGCTGCACCCCAGCCTCACAGACTGTGGGACTGAATCTCTGGAAGGAGGGAGTCACGGAGCCAGGCCCCCGATGGCATCTCACATTCATGCTGAGCCAGTCACATCCCAAACCACTGCCCTTGTGCTGCACCCTCCTGGGTGCAGAACCATCGGATCCCCAGTGGTCCTGGAAGCCGCATAGGTGCCAACTTCCCCTCTGCCCGGTGGGTGCTCAACCTGCCCCTGGCCCGCCCCTGCACCACCCTCACCTCGCCCCGCCCCCACTCCACCCCTTCACCAAAGTCCCCACCTTTTCCCACCACAGCCCTGCCCCCTTCCCGCCCCCATTCTACCCCCTTCCCCAAGTCCCCGCCTCTTCTCCACCTCCTCCCCTGAGCGTGCCACGTCCCCTGCTCCTCCCCCTCCTAAGCATCGCCAAACAGCTGTTAGGCAGCAGGGGAGTGGGAAGCGCTGGGAAGGAGTGGGAGGAGCGGGGATGCAGCGCGCTGGGAGGGGGAGAAGGAGGCGAGGAGGGGGGAACTTGGCTGCCGGTGGGTGCAGAGCACCCCCTAATTTTTCCCTGTGGGTGCTCCAGTCCCGAAGCACCCGTGGAGTCGGTGCCTATGCTGGAAGGTGATAGTTAATGGGGAGACATTTTTCGAATGGTGAGATACTGAAACTAAAGTTAAAGCCCAAGTGGTGAAACCCCATCAGATGTGCCTGGAGTGTGGCATCTGGGGAAAGTCCCTGGTGTAAAAGCCTTCGCCCTACCTATAGCAGAGATGTGAATCCAGGCGCAGGCAGGCTCAGGGGAGCTGGTATAGGTGCCCTCGCAGATATTCCAGTCATGGTGTTATTGAGGAAAGATATTATGGGTGAATCAGACCTCTCAGTTCGCCTCAGAGCTGCGTCAGGGGTGTGTTAGCCAAAATGCAAATGTATCCCCCTGCCAGTGTCCCAGCACACTGCTGAGATCAAGTGACCTCCCGCTGTGCATTCCAATGCCTGGGACTGAGCACTCTGCTACTGGCCTGAAGGGAGGTTCTCTGAGTCCTGAAGGCCAGGCCAGGGAAATACTCTCTCTGGTACCCAGGGCAGCACTCAACATGAGGATGGTGGTGTCTCCAAAAATGGGGACACCGAGGCAGCTGCGGGCACTGCCAAAACTATGACTCCCACCCAAGGGTGGGAAGCGCCCAAGTTACGCATATGGCAGCTGCCCTGGAGATGGTGGAGGTACCTAGAGCCAGGGAGGAGGGGGAAATTCTCCCCCCCAGTCTGGGACCGCCTGCTGGTCTGTGAAAATGCAAATGAACCTGAGCCTGGTGGGTGCAGAGCTGCTGCTCACCTTGACGTGGTGTATGGGGATCAAAGGGCTGCTGATGTTTGGGGGATCAGTACTGTTCCCCTGCCTTCAGAAAAGCTGAGCGTAGGCCAAAGGGGTCCCCAGCCCCCAACACCTGAGGAAGTGGGGCAGAGACAGGAACTTGGCAGGAATTTGGCAAGGAGGGAGCTTTGAAGAATCTCCCCAGCCTAACCCCTGTGCAGTTAAGAGCAGAGCATGGCTGAGATGTGCTGCACAGGGGCACACTGCGGGTGTAGGGAGGGAGCCGCACACTGTGGGTTTATGGAGGGAAGGGCACGCTGTGGGTGTGTGGAGAGAGAGGCATGCTGCGGGTGTAATAAGCGTTCGGCTCCCTCCCCTAAACCCGCAGTGTGCCCCTCCCTCCCCTACACCCATAGCATTCGGCTCCCTCCCTACACCCACAGCGTTCAGCTCCCTCCCTACACCCACAGCGTTCGGCTCCCTCCCCTAAACCCACAGTGTGTCCCTCCCTCCCCTACACCCGTAGCATTCGGCTCCCTCCCTACACCCACAGCTTGCCCCTCCTTCCAAACATCAGCAGCGTGTCCCTCCCTGTAAACACCAACACTTGTGGCTCCCTCCACACAATCATATTATGTCCCTCCCTGCATTCACCTACAGCGTGTCCCTGCCTCCCTCCTTCCCTACACCCGCAGTGTGCCCTTCCCGTCATTCACCTGCAGCCGAATGCTACGGGTGTAGGGGAGGGAGGGGCACACTGCGGGTTTAGGGGAGGGAGCCGAATGCTGTGGGTGTAGGGAGGGAGCCGAATGCTACGGGTATAGGGGAGGGAGGGGCACACTGCGGGTTTAGGGGAGGGAGCCAAACGCTGTGGGTGTAGGGAGGGAGGGAATGTTGTGGGTTTATGGAGGGAAGGGCACGCTGTAGGTGTAGGAAGGGAGGGGGATGCTACGGGTTTATGGAGGGAAGGGCACGCTGTGAGTGTTTGGAGGGAGGGGGACGCTGTGGGTTTATGGAAGGAAGGGCACGCTGCAGGTGTAGGGAGGGAGGGGGACGCTGCGGGTTTATGGAGGGAAGGGCTCGCTGTGAGTGTTCGGAGGGAGGGGGACGCTGCGGGTTTATGGAGGGAAGGGCACGCTGTGAGTGTCTGGGGGCAGAGGCAGTCTGCAGCTGAAAGGAGGGAGGGGCACACTCAGGGTGTAGTGAGGGACATGCCGCAGTTGTGGGGGGAGGGGCACCGTGTGGAGGAGGGCAGCACAGAACTTGCCCCAGGATTTTGATTTTTACCTTTCTCTTTTTTCCGTCTCTCCAGTTAAGCCAACGGCAACGATCGAGCCGGACCCCCCCTACCCCCGGGAGGGCGAGGAGCTGCGGCTGCAGTGTGAAGCCCAGGGCAATCCGATGTAAGCGCCAGCGCCTACACCTCCCCAGCCCCTCTGGCTTCCGTCCTCTCCTGCAGGGCTGCCTGCACCCCTCAATGCTCTCTTCACCGGGCTGAAGCCTTGCTGCATGGGCCTGCCCCAGGGGCGCTGCAGCTCCTGCCAGTTCAGTGGGATGCAGTCAGGCCTGTGTCACAGTCTGCAAGGGCCCCTGGGAAATTGAAGCTGCTGTAACGAATTCCCAGCTGGGCTGACCCCTGAAGCCAGCACTTGCTGCTGCATGGGCGATGCCGGCCCAGTGTGTGCCCCTCGGGGAGGTGCCCCTTGCCTCTCACTAACCCCCCTCCTCTTAGCCCCCAGGAGTTCCTGTGGACGAAGGAGGGCAGTGATGTCCCCCTGAATCTAAATACCAACCGAGTCCTCACACTCCCCTTCCTCAACAAGAGCGACAGCGGCACTTACATCTGCATGGCCACCAGCACCATGGGCAGCGTTGTAGTGAGGTACAACCTGGACATCAATGGTAAGCACTGGGCACCAGAGAGGGCGTGGAGCGCCTGCCTGCTGTCTCCTCCCCTCTCTGGGGACACGCACCAGAACCTCTCCTTGTACTTGGCTCCCCGGAGCATCTGCGATACACTGCCAAATACACTGGAGTTGTCCCTTTGTGGGGCTCGCCCCCCATTGCTGGAGCCATCTGATGTGTGCCCTTGGGTGTGTGCAGCACACCCCTTGCGGGGAGCTCTGGGTGTGTTGGGATCACCCCCTGCCAGGGAGTTCCGGCTGTGATGGGAACACCCCCTACCAGGGAGCTCCAGTTGTGTTGGGAACACCCCCTGCCAGGGAGCTCCAGGTGTGTTAGAAACACCCTCTGCGGGGAGCTCCGGTCGTGTTGGGAACCCCCCTGCCGGGGAGCCCCAGGTGTCTTGGGAACACCCCCTGCTGGGGAGCCCCAGGTGTGTTGGGAAGACCCCCTGCCGGGGAGCCCCAGGTGTGTTGGGAACACCCACTGGTGGGGAGGCCCAGGTGTCTTGGGAACATCCCGTGCCAAGGAGCTCTGTGTGTGTTGTGAACACCCGTTGCTGGGGAGCCCTGGGTGTGCTGGGAACGCCCTCTGCTGGGGAGCTCTGGGTGTGTTGTGAACACCCCCTGCCTGGGAGCTCTGGGTGTGTTGGGAACTCCCCCTGCGGGGAGCTCCTGGTGTGTTAGAAACACCCTCTGCGGGGAGCCCCAGGTGTGTTGGGAACACCCCCTGCTGGGGAGCCCCAGGTGTCTTGGGAACATCCCGTGCCAAGGAGCTCCGATCGTGTTGGGAACACCCCTTGCCGGGGAGCCCCGGGTGTGTTGGGAATGCCCCCTGCTGGGGAGCCCCAGGTGTGTTGGGAAGACCCCCTGCCGGGGAGCCCCAGGTGTGTTGGGAACACCCACTGGTGGGGAGGCCCACGTGTCTTGGGAACATCCCGTGCCAAGGAGCTCTGGGTGTGTTGGGAACACCCCCTGCCTGGGAGCTCTGGGTGTGTTGGGAACCCCACTGCGGGGAGCTCCTGGTGTGTTGGGAACACCCGTTGCTGGGGAGCCCTGGGTGTGTTGGGAACGCCCCCTACTGGGGAGCCCCAGGTGTGTTAGAAACACCCCCTGGTGGGGAGGCCCAGGTGTCTTGGGAACATCCCGTGCCAAGGAGCTCTGTGTGTGTTGTGAACACCCGTTGCTGGGGAGCCCTGGGTGTGTTGGGAACGCCCTCTGCTGGGGAGCTCTGGGTATGTTGGGAACGCCCCCTGCGGGGAGCTCTGGGTGTGTTATGAACACCCCCTGCCTGGGAGCCCTGGGTGTGTTGGGAACGCCCTCTGCCGGGGAGCTCTGGGTATGTTGGGAACGCCCCCTGCGGGGAGCTCCTGGTGTGTTGGGAACACCTGTTGCTGGGGAGCCCCGGGTGTGTTGGGAACACCCCCTACCGGGGAGCTCCAGTTGTGTTGGGAACACCTCCTGCCGGGGAGCCCCAGGTTTGTTAGAAACACCCTCTGCGGGGAGCTCCAGTCGTGTTGGAAACACCCCCTGCCGGGGAGCCCCAGGTGTGTTGGGAGCACCCCCTGCCGGGGAGCCCCAGGTGTGTTGGGAACATCCCCTGCTGGGGAGCCCCAGGTGTCTTGGGAACACCCGTTGCTGGGGAGCTCTGTGTGTGTTGGGAACGTATGTTGGGTACTCCCCCTGCCAGGGGTGATGCTCTTTGGAAGCACACTGGAGTGTCCCACGGAACAGGCCCTGCCCCAGCATGGACCCAGCCAACTGCAGATGCTGAGCCTCAGGGGGATTGTCTCTGAGCTCCTGCAGCTGCTTCTTTGGCATGGGCTCCGTGAAGCTGCTGCTGCCTCCTCCAACCTGTTCCTCTTTTCTTCCTTCTCTGGTATTTCTCTGCTGCTCTGCCCTTCCTACTCCCCACTCTCCCCCTGGGTCACTCCTCACCGCGCTCCTATGCTCACTCCTCCCTCCTTCTCTCCTGTTCATTTGCTCCCCTCCCTCCCCACTGGCTCCTCAGGCCCCCCGTGGCAGAGCAGGAGGGGAGCAGATTGTCTCTCCAGAGCCCTGCAGGAGCTGATAGGTGTTGCTTGGCCGGGGAGCCCATGCGCAGGAGGAGGAGAGCGCTGCTTGTGGGGAGCTGGGAGGGGAGCCACACAGCCTGGGCTGGGTTCAGCCATTATCTGCTGCTGTAAGGACAAGAGATGAGGCTGAATTGGGGCATTGAGGGGGGTGGGCTGCTCAGCTACCCGCCTGTGGATAGTGATATGGGAAGAGAGCAGCCAGCCACGTGGGTGCCTGTGGACCAGGGGTGAGCTGGAGCCCAGGTGTAGCACCAGGGCCAGCCAGCAATGGGGAGGAAATGCTGGCCCTGAACATCAGGGACTGCAATAGCTGGAAACATCCTGCTGGTCCCTTCTAGAGCATCCCCAGGGCAGAGCAGGACTGGCCCTGCAGGAAGTTTGGAGGTGTTTGTCCAGTCCCATGGGACGGGGCTCCCACCCGTCCTCCAGCCAGATCCAGCTGCACACTTTCAGAAGGGCTTCCTGGACATTCAGATTGCTCCCCCCTTCCGGGATGGCAGCCCACTGCTCCGAGCTGCACTCTGTGCAGGATACTGAACTGAGTCTGCCCTCTCCCTTATTATCTGTTAACACCCTGCACATGTTGACAGGCTGAACTCCCCGGTGTCCCGCCCTCTCCTCCCAGAACAGATGGGCCAGATTTGCCTGTTACTTTGGGGTACGCTCATTTATTAGGGTTACTCTTCTGGAGGAGGGGTTCTGTATTTCTATCCATGTACTGCTTGTGTCACTTGTGTTCTCATACGGAGCTCTACTCCTCCCTTCTGCAAGTTCCCTCCCAGTGGAGCTCTCCTGCAGGCCCTAGGTTCCCCAGGGCCGGGTTCTTCCAGCCCTAGAATCAGATGAACACACACACACACACACACACACTAACAGAGCACATCTGAGAGGACCAGGTCAATCAGCATTCCCAAGCTGACCCCTTATATGTCCCTGGACTCAGCAGGCTGGGTCAAGCAGCACTTCCAAGTTGTCACCCTCATAGGCCCTTGGATTCAGCAGGCTGGGTTGAACAGCACCTCCGAGCTGTCACTCTCATATGCCATGGGCACTGCACTGGAATAGAGCACGCCTGAGCAGGCTGGGTCGAGCAGCTCTTTCAATCTGCCACCCTCCTATGCCCCAGGTTCAGCACGTCCCTATCCCACTTTCATGTTACAATTGTTCTGGTCGTAACCCACTTGATGAGCAAACCCCACAGGATTTTTGGGTGCTACAGGGATCTTTAGCTTAGGTATGAGGAGCGTTGCCGCAGAGAGAGAGAGAGAGAGAGAGGGAGGGAAGCAACCAGCTTAACCATTAAAGTTATTTATTGTCAGGTAATAACCATACAAAGGGAGCCAAACAAACAAAACAGTTATAATATTAAATCTAACTTAAATTTGATTACAAAAGTCAGGTTTAGAAAACTATAAGTGATCACAAAGTCAGGGTCAGAAGGCTTTACCTAGAGAGAGAGAGATGGGTTCTCACCACTCCGTGAAGGTTGAATCAATCGGGGTTACCACGTGGTGGTGGTAGCAGAGAGTCCTGAATGCTGGAGACAGGCAGAGCCCCCAGCACGATCAGTCAGGAGAAGATGAAGTCCCAATGGAACTGATGCAGCTGTTGGATCCAGGCATCAGAGCACTTACTTGAGCATGGGTAGGAGTTTTTGTAGGGAAACAACAATAGTTCAAGGGAGCACACTAGAATTTTTTGTGGGTAAACTGATGGCTCAGGGGAGTATACCAAAGTTGTTTTGTTCAGGCTAGACAATAGGAACTGCTCATTCCTGCCTATGGGTGGTGTTCCTTCGAAGGAGCTCACAATGCAATTAGGCAGCTTCAGTATTTTGGATACCAATAAAGGATTTATTACTAGAATTGGTCTGATAACTGCTGAGCTGGGTGTGTACAGGCGTGGGTTCATTAACATCTGGAGCAGAGATCCCCCAGAGTTCAGTGCGGTTCTTGCCTTGGAATCTCTGTTCTCCATTCTGTATGCTAAGGGGATGCCTCCCTGTCTCATCCTTGATGCAAATGAGGCTAGGGGAGTTGCCTTAATCCTGTCACCCTTGTCCAGAGGGGTTGAGGTGTGTCTTTCACTGCCTTTTCATTGCTTGTTGGAAGCCAATTTAGGGCCAGATGTTCAAAAAAGCCTGACTCCTCCCAGCTCCCACTGAGAACAAAGGAGGCTCAGCCCCCAGCCCCATGGAGAATAATGGGCTGCTGAGCACTTGGGAACTTCCTCTCTTCCCCTAACTGAGCCTTCCCAGCCCCAGATCATTTCTCTGAGCTGTCCAGAGCTGAACAGTGTCCCTGGCACAGCCTCTAGGGCAGGGGTAGGCAACCTATGGCATGCGTGCCGCCTTCGGCACCTGAGCTGATTTTCAGTGGCACTCACACTGCCCGGATCCTGGCTAACGGTCCGGGGGGGCTCTGCATTTTAATTTAATTTTAAATGAAGCTTCTTAAACATTTTAAAAACCTTATTTACTTTACATACAACAATAGTTTAGTTATATATTAAGACTTATAGAAAGAGACCTTCTAAAAATGTTAAAATGTAATACTGGCACGTGAAACCTTAAATTAGAGTGAATAAATGAAGACTCGGCACACCACTTCTGAAAGGTTGCTGATCCCTGCTCTAGGGTGTGATCCCTCTGTTCCTGCCCCAGTGCATTAGCAGCTCATGTCTAACCTGCTGTCCGCGTCCTGCCAGCTGCCCCGGATTCTCTTCCTGTGAATATTCAGGCTGCTGTGGTTTTTTCACCTGCTGCACGTGCTGCATTTCCAAGACATTGCTGCTGCTATTCCCTGCCTATGTTTAATGAGTCAGTGTGCTCTGCACGTGGAACAGAGCCGTGTACCGTTCAGGGTTCTGATTCTGATCACTCTAATCTCCTGCTGCCTTGGGATCCTTTCTGTGTCTCTATTGGTAT